GCATGTAGTTGTGTAATTGTACAACTGTATGTATATATGTATGGATTCATGCATGCATGCATGCATGTGCATGTGTATGTGTACGTGTGTATGTATGTGTGTATGTATGTATATGTTTACGTGTATGTGTGTATGTGTACGTATGTGTTGTGTACATACATCTGTGCATGAGTTCATACATATATGTATAGTTCTATGTACACACACCTACACACATATGTATGTATATCTGTATATATATATATGTATAGACAGATCGGTTCGGACATCTGGGCCTAGCTTCTTGGGACCTTGGATTCGGACCCTGAAATGGGTACGAAAATAATGAGTCCGATGCCCAACAAATCTTGTCGAACACCGGCAGCGGCTGGTGCTGGACAGGCAACGTTCTGCCTTAAATGGGCAACGCCCGCGGCAGCAAGGACAGTGAGTCCTGTTCAAATGAACAGGATCCGCTTTCGGGCATCGTGCACATTCATTATGTGCCCTTTCCGTTCGTCCCAGACATCTGGCCGCTGCAATGTTCTCGATGCGTGGGCCCCGCAGATCTGGACCGCTTCCCCATATCGCCCGTTTCTGGTCCCAAATCGCTTCTTGACGGTCCCGATCCCCGCGAGGGTTCCCGGAGGACGAACACGGCCAACAATCGGACGCTCCAACTTTTCGGGGAGCGTCGGATCTCTGGGAGGCGCTGGAATCATGTCGGGCATGTCTTCCTACAGACTGATTTTGGAAGACAAAGAAAACATAGCCAAACCAAAACCCAAATAGTGGAAGCAGATTCAAAAAGTCATCCCCAGAGCATATTTGAACTAATCTTTCTGTTGTTGGACATGCTCGACTTCACGCTGGAAGAAGCACCACTGCGGGCCTCCTGGAAGCCGAACACGGCCGAAAACCGGACGTTCCAACTTTGTTGGCAACGTCGGATCTCTGTTAGCGGCGCGCTGAGGGGGGTAAGGGGGAGGGGGGGAAGGCTTCTTAGAAGCAGGCTGCTTCTTAGAAGGCACGGGCCTTGTCTGTAAATGTAATGCCCACGGCTTCCAAGAAGCAGCCCCCTTACTAGAAGCCTTACCCCCTCCCTCTACCCCCCTCTGCGCGTGGCCGACTCTTCCTTGCGACCCCAGAAGGGGTCCAGCTGAAAGGGGGTTTTGCAATAGAGTTGGGGCAATTGTATTGCAACTGTATTGCGCCAAAGAATTGCGCTGCATTGTATTGCGGCGATTGTAGTGAACACGAAAGCCCAGCAAGACATCTGCGCACCGGAATGTATTGCACGCCCCAAACTTCCTGCAACCCCACAAATCGATTGCACCAAATCTATTGCACCAAATCTACTGCACCAAATCCATTGCACCACCCCCTTGCCGCTGGAAGAATGCCCAGTGCGGGCCTCCCACGACGGCCTCCGGGCCTCCCGGGCCGCCTCTCCCGAATCGAGATCGTGATCGGGCAGCCCGCCTGGGGCCGCGGCTCGCCGGGGCCGGAGCAGCATCGTTTCGATCCTTGCGTTAGGTCGGGCATGTCCTCCTACAGGCGGGTTTCTATCATATACATAATATCAATATAAAGACAAACCCAACAACAATTCAACATATCAAAATCTTATGGATTTATTGTTTTGATTTAAAGAAACGAAGAATCGGCCCGATATTCTCCGGCTGCTGTTCCTGAACGTTCCTCCTGTAGAGGGGCGCGCCTGATTTGATCCTTGCGTTCCTTGACTCCGACGTTGATTCGGCGGCTCAAGACCGGCCGCTCCAAATTTTCCGGAGCGACCAGCCGCTGGGGCGCCGATGGCTCCCCACCGCTTGGGCGTCCATTCCCCGTGCATCCCTGGGCTGCGCGCGTGCCTTTGCGCAGAAGAAGACCCGACATGCTCTTCGGTGCTCCTCGCCGGGAGATGCGCGCGCAGCCGAGGGGCGCCTGCTAGAAGAAGAAGAAGAAGAAGCACCGACACTTCGCCCATTGCGGTCACAATTTCCAGGCTAAATTTTTAAGATTGTAATATTTTTAAATTTTCAACTTTTGTAAGATTGTAAGATTTTTTGCGACACAAGGGTATTGTAAAATTTTGAAATTGAAAACTCCAAGGCTAAACTACCTGACTGTTTTGGTCACAAGCTTGGCGCTCTCCGCGCGGCCTTGTTGGATCTGCGCCGGGCCCCCCCCTCCCTGGCGCGCCGAGCGCGCCAGGGGCTGCGCTGGAGGCGCCGCCGGCCCTGAGATCCGACGTCGCGATTCTTTCAGTACCAGGGTCCTCGGGAGTCTCGACCCATTCCCCAGGACCGGTTTTTCATCCTGAGTCGTCTTTTGACGGCTCCGAGGCCAGGCGAGGGCCCCTAGGGGCCGAACTTAGCGAAAAACCTCCGTCTTGATTTGTTCAATGCGTCGGATCTCTGGGGATGGGCCCAGCGCAAATCCAAGAAACCCGCGCGGAGAGGTTGGCGGCTTGCGCTCGAGGCGGCGTGCCGCGGCCGTCGGGGGGGCATGCCCAAACGGCCACGGCAGCCGAACTCGAGCAGGGACCTGCCGCCCCGGCATCCCTTGACTACCTACCAGACCACCTCAACCCAACCCGCAGACCCGAATTTCGGGTTGTGGGGGGGGGGGCACGGGTTCCATATGTGTTTTGTTCAATGTTCCTCACCCCCCCCAACACTGGAAATGGAGGGAAAATTGAGGCCTTCGGGTTGGGTTGGGGTGGTTTGGTGGGTGGTGATTCCTGGAGCCCTACCACAACATGTTCATAGCACCCCAAAAAGTTCTGAGAACAGAAAGAGTGCTCTTCGAAAGTAGACCCGATGTGTGAAAACAAAGCAGCCCAGGCCAGAAACGTTCTACGAGCAATTCGTGCAGACCACGAAGAGGTTCTTAGATCCCTCCCTGGTAGAGCCTATCGTTATGTTGTTTCCTTCCTACTTATAGACCCCATCCCAGAAATAATTTCGAGCACCCGGAAAGTGCCGCAAGAGTGTCGAACGAAACAGTGTCGGGCGAGTGTCTCCTAGGGCCCGACACGGGAAAACCCTTGCGTTTCGGTACTTGTTTTCTGGCGCTCGCAACTCTTTCTGGTGATCAAGGCTGAAGTAGGTTGGAGCATCCGAAGCCTCTAGGCTAGCCGCGACGCTTCGCCACTGCTCGACGAACGGGCTCCGCCCGCGGCGCCTCCGGAGCGGCAGCCGGCGGCGCGGGCCCGCGCCAGTCTTCCGCGGGGCCCCGGCCGCCCGCGCCTGTGCCTCCCCCGGAGCGGCCCTTGCCGCCCTGGGCCCGCTGGCCCCCCGCGCGGCGCGGGCACTCCCTGGCAGGGGGGCGCCCGTCCTCGTCGTCGTCGTCCTCGTCCTCGTCGTCGTCGTAGTCGTCGACGTCGTCGTCGTCGTCCTCGTCGTCCTCGCCGTTGTTTTCGTCGTCGCTTTGGTCGTCGTTTTCGTCGTCGTTTTCGTCGTCGTTGTCGTCGTCGTCGGCGGCGTCGGCGTCTACGTCCTCGTCCTCGTTTCCGTCGTCGTCATCGCCGTTGTTTTCGTCGTCAATTCCGTCGTCGTTTTCGCTGTCGTCGTCGTCGTCGTCGGCGGCGGCGGCGTCGTCGTCGTCGTCCCCGAACGCCCTGAGATTCCGGCGACTCCACTCGGCGGCGGAGTCCGAGCCCAGCCCTCGCCGCTCCGCCGATTCAGGGCACTCGAGGCGCGGCCGGGGTAGGGCTCGGACTTCGCCGCACGCCTGGCGGCATCCAAGCCCTACCCTTTTTGTGGGCCCCGGGGAACGGCAAGGCCGTTTTTTTTTTACCGTTCCCCCAAAAATGCCCCTTGAACATGGAATCGGCAAAAAAACGGCGACCGGAAACGGCAAAAAAACGGCTCCAGGATTGGAGCCGGAGCCGGAACCGGTCAAACAACGGCGACAAAACCGGTAAAAAGAAGCGTCGGAACCGGCAGAAAGACGGCTAAACGAAACCGGTAAAAACACGGCCCTGTCGTTTCCAGGGCCCGCTAAAGCCCTACCCCCGCCGACCATCGGTTCAGGAGAATCGATGGTTGCTGGGGGTAGAGTTCGGATGTCGCCACCAATGCATTTGTTCCAGCCGTGTGTGCGTGTGCGTGTGCTCCTTGTTTCAGGCCCCAGGACCCAGAAAGGGACGCAGAAAGATGAACTCTGGGGCTCTAGTGGTGCTCTTGCGCGATGTCTCCATGTTTACGGGCCGTCGGATCTAGAAGCCAGGGGATTGCGAAGTATGCAGTTGCCACACCCCCTTGTCGTGCAGTTTCGCCCTCTCGCCTCTGCAAACCGCGCATGTTTCTCAAAAGTGGCATTATCGCCTCGGCGCCGCGCGCATGTTGTGTATACTTTTTCGTGTGAGAAAAGGGAGGGGGGGGCTCGTGCCGCGTGCGCTGCGAGACATACTCGGGCGCCTCCATGCCTGCACGCAAGGACCAGCCAACTGACACCCCGATGCGGCGCCCCTCGGACGCCGCCATCCACTGAGGCCATGGCAGGATGTCCGTGGGACTGGTGTTTGTCCTGATAAAGACCCTTAGAACGACTTCTGTGGAGTGAGGGCTCCTAGAACGAACTTCTTTAGCACACGTTCGTTTGTAACGATGCCTGTGTCAATGACCCCCGAACAAGGTTCCTTGTAGTGGATAATCCAAAGTGTAAATACCTTTGGTAAACATTCGTCAGTCAGGCCGCATCTATCAAAGGGATCCGTAGTACAGGCCCCTTTTGTAATGAGGAGTCCCTAAGCGGATACCTTTTAGTACGGATCCCCTCAATACGGATCGGTGTTATAAACATTCATTATCCGTGCTGTCTGTGACACGGTGGCTGAATACCGACGGCTTTAGCCATGGACCCGTGGGAATGATGCTTTTGGTACGGGATCCTGAATCAAGTTTCCTTTTGCTCGGAGTCCTTCGGCAGGAAGAGCTGGGAGGGGGCTTGGCTGCTCCCTCACACAGCCCACAAAGCAAAGTGGGGAAGTGGCAGGAGGACATGGTTGCTCTCCCTGTCTGTCTCCCTCCGCCCCCTTTCACATTCATGCTCGGCCCAGTCAGTGAAACCCCGATGGAAGGCCAGCCTCCACTGGGGCCATTGCTCGGGATCCTTCGTTAGGGTGCTTGTAGTAAGGGGCGCGTAGTCTGCATCTTTTCCAATGCAGGATCCTTTATATGACCTTTGTAGTACACGATCATCGGTGCGGACGCATGCATCAAGTAACCCTGAGGAAGGATCCATGTAGTGAAACGCCCTTCGTGAGGATGCTTTTGGTGAGCATTCGCCAACGTGGATGCATTAATCAAGTAATTTTTAGTTCGGTGGAGTGTTTATGGATGGCGCCTATACTGCAAATTCCGTTGGTAAGGTTTTCTGTAGTAAGGGGTCCTCTAGCAACGGTTGATTTCGCAAGACTGTATTTAATACTGGCGACCGTAGAGAGGACGCTTTCTAGTCCGACGGTATGTCTGAGACTGCCTCTATCGGTAACTCGTTAGTCTGGATCCCCTGCGGTGAGGTTACTATACTTGTGCAGTTCGCAATGCCACTGAATTCTTACGATGGATTAACCAGAGATCGTTAGCAATGGTGCCTTTTTCGCTAAAAGGTTCGTAATGAAAACCCTCGTAGTTTGGAATACCGTAATGTGGCCACATGTCCTGAGCATCCTTGGTAACGGATGCCGTTACGTCCTTGTCAAGGATCCCTTGTCGTAAGGGGTTCTTAGTGAGGACGCCAGTAGTATGGACCCCCTCGGTCAAGAAACGTACAATAAGGAGTCGTTGCCCGTGTTCTTGTTACTGAGGGCTCTTTAGTACGGGCTCCTTCCGTAAAGGCTGATTGGCAAGTGGGGCCATGGGGGATGATATATCGTTATCCAGGTGGCTGGGGTGAAGAGACAAAAATATTACCAGGCAGTCCGCGATGCGGCGCCGCAGCTGCATTGGCGTGCTTGGAATGTCGATTGAAAATAATGCGCGCGTGTGTCAGCGCTACCCATCCACATTTCGATACAATCAGGGTAGCCGTGTTCCTAGCTCTTGATGGCCAGGGGGAGAGCCAGGTACAATCCGCATAGCCAAGTAGGGCGCGCGCTCTTGCGCACCGCGGCTGTCGTTATGCTGCGAGATGCGCGGTGCTACGCGTCTGGAAAGATGTATGCATGTATGTATGTGTATGTATGGATGGATGTATGTTTGTATATATGTATACACACATACAGCTGCATGTCTATATGCAGGTATGTGTGTATACATGCATATGCATACATACATACATACATACATACATATGTCTATGTATACATATGCAGTTGCATATGCATACACATACATTTGTACACATACACGCCTACATACATGCATAGATATATGTATATATATATATGTATCACATGAAAAACGCCTTCGGCCTCACGGGGCGACCTCGCGGCCCCTGCGAGAGGGGGGGGGGGAAACAACAGGACAAAAGTCCACCAGGTACCACCGCCCGCTGTTTTTTTGTGTTTGCTCCTCCCGCCCGCCCCCCTTGGGAAAGGGGGGGGAGGGAATCACCTCCCACATCTCTCCGCCCTGCACCCCCCACCCCCTGGAAGAGAAGTCATTGCGCAAGCCTGTCACGCAGGAGGAGGACGAGGAGGTGGAGGGAGAGGATAATAGTAATGAAGCAAGATGAACTCGCGGCGGACTCGACAGAGCAAATGAAGCCTCCTACTAACAGGAAACAGCGAGACGGAGAAATGACACCTCCCACACTTATGAAACCTCCCACAGGCCGCATACTCCACGATCCCTCCTTCTCCGCTTCTCAGGGAACTCCGAACCTCCCAGATCTCCGACGACATGTTGGTTTCTATCCCGCATCTTACCTCGGTGACGGCCTCGGGTTCGTTATCGGCCCCATGCTGGGATCACCGCTAAGGTTGCTGAGGTGATAAGGGGATGCTACGTGGATGCTTAGGAGCGTATGGTTGGACATACAATGCTCAGACATGGGTCACAGGTGCCCTGAGTGGCTAAAAGGAGCTCAGTGCCCCGACTGCCCAGTGGGCTCCGCCTACTTAGCTCAGACCTCTGCCCCCTGTAAGGCGCCTAGGGCACTTGCATCCTGTGCGCGCGCCAGGTTCGGACAGGTATCGCCTGCTTGGGCACCCACTTAGAAACCTCCGACCCCCTCAGCAACCCCAGCGGTGATCCGAGTATCCGAGCCTTTCTCTTGGAGGTCGGCCTCCCGGGTCTGCCACCGGGCCCCCAGACCATCAGACGTGGGCCCGGGGCGAAAAAAACTTTCCCCAGGGAAGGGGTCTGGACCTCGGGCCGCGAATTGAAACCATCACATCGTCGGATGCCTCGGACCTTCTCGCGCTGCAAACCACACATAACGGCAGAGGGTCTTGGCCGTTCTCTTGGCCCCTTCTCTTCGACTGCACGCAAGAGTGGACCCAGGGCCCAAGGTGAGAGTGACCTTTGGTGCAAAGCTTTTTTGAGGGGCCGCGTGGGGGTCAAACCCAGGCGCGCAAGACGCTACTGTCCCACCGCATGCAGCGATCGGGGGATCCCAGTGGGCCCTTACCAAAGGTTCGGGGGGGAACAGCGGCGGGGTTGGGGCAAAGGTCGGGTGGGAAGGCAGACCCCTCCGAAGGGCCCCTTGAAGAAGGAAGCGCGCTCAACAGGAGCATCCAGCCGGGCCCGCTCCCCAGCCCCACCCTGGGATAGGAGGAGGAGGAGGAGGAGGAGGAGAAGGAGGAGGAGGAGGAGGAGGAGGAGACCCTCCCTCGACGAGCACCCCGAAAAGGTCGCTCCGGCGCAGGGGCACTCTCACGCTTCGCCGGCCTCCTGCCGCCGGACACGCTTCACACGCGCCCGAGCCCGGCCCGGCCCGCTGGAGCGCGCGTGCGGACATTGCCCCTGCCGCGCTGCGACGGGAGGGCGACTTGGCAGCTCTCGGCCTCCGGGTTGAATATCTAATTCCTTGTATTTGTTTAACATAAACTTGTTTTGAAACATCTGTTTTGGATGAAGTGATGAATCAAAAAAATTAATACCATTGAAGCAAATCTTTCTTGGGTGGCTGGCTCCCGACGGGTCGTCGAGAAGCTGCTCTGGACCAGGGGGCCCCCCAAACCGCCTCACGACGGCCCGTCGGGCCCCCGAGAAAGCCCCACGACGGCCCAGGAGGGCCCAAACACAGGTCGAAAGGGCCTCAAGACAGCCCAAGAGGCCTCCAAGAAGGCCCCAAGAAGAGCCCAAGACGGGGACCACGAACCGAAAATTCTAGCTCTCCGCCCCAAGAAGCTCCCAGGATGGCCCAAGAGGCCCTCCAGGGGCTCCACGAGGCCCCCACGAGGCCCCAAAGAGCACAAAAAGAAGCCCCAAGAGGCCCCAATACAGGCCCCCAGAGGCCGCAATACTGCCTCGGGTAGGCCCCAGCGACGCTTCTCACGAGATCCCACCACACATCCAGGAGGATTCTGAGCCACAGCCCAGGCACGGTGGCGGTATGGGCCAAATGTCACCAGCTCCGCTGCCCCCTGTCGATTCATCGCAGGGGTGCCTGGCGTGCTGAACCCTCTCGGTTTTGATTTTGATTTTTGTTTTTTTGTCCAAAAGAAAAAACCGGCGTGCCTGGCGTGCTGAACTGGCGTGCTGGACGCCTCCGTGCCTGGCGTGCTGAACCCAAGGGTGCCTGGCGTGGTTTTGATTTTTTCTCCAAAAGAACTCCCCCTGGGGCTTCGGCCCGTCCCGCCGGCCACCCCGAAAATCCCCAAAACGCGTCCGTCGTGCCTCCGTCGTCGCCAAAAACGGCCGTTTCGCTCGGGACATCCTCAAACAATCGCGAAGATGGCCCAAGATGGCCTCCAAGTCCGCCCAAGATGGTCCAATACGGCCTCCAAGACGGCCCACGAGAGTCCAAGACGGCCCAAGACGGCCCAAGAGGCCTGCCAGAGGCCTCCAAGACGGCTCAAGAGGCCTCCAAGAGGTCCTCCAGGAGGGCCCGAAGAGGCCAAAATCATTGATGCTCCTTAGGTTTTTGGAGGATTTTGGAATTTGCTTCTTCTCTGCACTCCGACGGCTCAAGACGGCCTAAGAGGCCCCCAAGATCGTCCAAGAGGCCCCCAAGAGGGCCCCATGACGGCCCAAGTGGCCTCCAAAACGGCCCCAAGAAGGCCCCAAGACGGCCCAAGATGGCCTCCAACACGCCCAAGATGGCCTCCAAGACGCCCAAGATGGCCTCCAAGACGGCCCCGATGCGCCCCAAGAGGGCCCCCTGCCGGCCCAGAAAGACCCCCAAGACGGCTCCCAACAGCGTCAGACGTGCCAGGAACCCACCAAGATGGCCGAAGTTGGCTCGAAGCTGGCCCAAGACGGCCCACGAGGCCCCCAAGAGAGCCTCCAGGAAGGCCAGAAGAGGCCAAACACATTGATGTTCCTAAATAGTTTTTGTTTTGTTTCCCCCCCCCCCGGATTTCGACATTTCCTTCTCGACGGCCCGAGACGGCCCCAGAGCCCCCAAAGATCGCCGAAAGATCGCCCAAGAGGCCTCCAAGATGGTCCCAGAACGGCCCAAGAGGGCCACAAGAGGCCCCCAAGACGGCACATGAGGCCTTTAAGACGCCCAAGATGGCCTCCAAGACGGCCCTGGAGCATTCCAAGAGGGCCCCAAGTCGGCCCATAGAGGCCCCCCACACGGCTTACGACGGCGTCAGACGGACCAGGAGCCCACCAAGATGGCCGAACATGGCCCTAAGATTGCCCAAGGCGGCCCAAGAGGCCTCGAAGAGGGCCTCCAGGAAGGCCCGGAAAGGCCAAAATCATTGACTTCCCATTGGATTTTGAAGGATTGTGGCATTTGCTTTTTTTCTGCCTTCCGACGGCCCGAGACGGCCCAAGTGCCCCCAAAGATCGCCCAAGATGCCCAAAACTGCGGCCCCCAAGACGGCCCAAGAGGTCTCCAAGACGCTGAAGATGGCCTCCAAGACGGTCCAAGAGCCCTCCAAGACGTTCTCCAAGAAGGCCCGAAAAGGGTCAAAATGGCCTCCAGACGGCCAAGATGACCTTCAAGATGCTCACGTGTTCCCCGAAGGCTTTCCTAACCGATTCGGGGAACACATGGTCCGATAGCTTGGCAGGTCTGGCCTCAACGTTCGGCAACATAGGCGCTTCCGAAAAGGCAGGGGGTGGCGGTGATTCGCCGTAGGCGTCTTCGATCCGCCGCCCCCTGTTGGCTTGCCACAGGGGTGCCCGGCGTGCTAGATCCTGTCCAACTTGGTTCTTTTAGATCAACTCCCTAGGGCTTCGGCCGGTCCCGCCGGCCACCCGAAAGGCCGCACAAGCCAGCATAAACCACCCCAACGTCCACAACAAATTCTCCAAGACGGCTCGAGATGGACTCTAAGATGGTCACGTTGGCCCGAGATGGCCTCCAAGATGGCCCAAGAATGCGTCCAAGTCGCCAAAGACGGTCCAAAATGGCTTCCAAGACGGCCCGAGAGAGTCCAAGATGCCTTCAAGTTCGTCCAAGAAGCCTCCAAGACGGCCCAAGATGGCTCCAAGATGGCCTACGACTGGCCAAGACAAGACAAGAGGCCTCTAAGACGTCCTCCAGGAAGGCCCGGAAGGGCAAACATAATTGAGTTGACTTAGGTGTTTCAAGGATTTGGGCATGTTCTTTTTATCAGCTCTCCGACGGCCCAAGACGGCCCAAGAGGCCCCCAACATCGTCCCAAGAGCGCCCACGAGGCCTCCAAGATGGCGCCATGACAGCCCAAGAGGCCCCAAGAGGGCCCCAAGAAGAGCCCAAGACGGCCAAAGATGGCCCCGAAGACGCCGAAGATGGCCTCCAAGACGGCCAAGATGGCCTCCAAGACGGCCAAGAAGGCCTCCAAGACAGCGAAGATGGCCCCAAGACGCACCCAAGACGGCCCCAGATGGCCTCAAGATGGTCTTAGTCTGCCCAAAAGGCCCGCCAGAGGCCTCCAAAACGGCCCAGGAGCCCTCCAAGACGTCCTCCAGGAGGCCCGAAAGCTCGGCAACCACCTGGTCCGATAGCTCGCCCGACTCCGTGTTCCCCGAAGGCTTTCGAAATCCACTCGGGGAACGCGTGGCCCGATAGCGTGGCCAAGCTCAAACCCAACTTTCGGGCACGCAGGCGCTTCCAAAAAGGCAGGGGGCGGCGGTGATTCGCCGTATGCGTCTTCGATACAAATACAAGCATAATTAACGCACCAGTTGAGCTGGAATGATACGAAATAATAATTACGATGGACGAGGGGAGATCGGGTGCGAATGAGGGAGACCGACTGCGGCGTTGTCGCTGGGACCTGTGTAAATATTCCTTCTGGATATAGACCCCCTGCTCTACCCGACGAACGACAAGCCCGGGGCTATGTGGGCATTGTGCGCGGTTTGGGGGAATCTCGCGCTTTGAACTTCGCGACGCTCGTAGACGACCCGCAAGCCCCCCACGACGGCCCCACGACGGCAGCTGCGACCCCCACGCCGCCCTCAGAGGCGCCCAAGACCAACTCCAAAAGAAAACCAGCCAAAAGACCCGATCGGACACTCCGAGCCCTCGGCCCCAAAGAGACCACAGGAGATCCTACCAGAACCCACACAAAGCCGACACGAGGCCCCCACCGGACGGCATCTAGTACGCCCCTGTGTGAAAATGACAACGCCTGGATCCTTGGGTCCTGGGCTCAGAATCGACCTCGCCAGGATCGAAACACGGCAAATTCGTGCCGTGACGACCTGGGCATTGGATTCCGACCCCGCGCGACTCGTTCCACCTTGAACGATCGCGGCTTTCCGACTGGCCAGCTCTGGGCCACTGGCGGCGTTCGACATTGAGCACCCTCGCTTGGGTCGCCGCCGCGTCTACATGACACGAGCCGACAGCGAGGGCACCTCCAGCCCCCGATGCCACGATGGCTTCACCACTTGGGCCCCCAGAGGTCTGGACCACCCCCTGCTGAAGGTCCTGAGGCCTGGTGAAGCCCTCTGCAGAGGCCAGGAACTGCCAGACACCTGCCGTCGCGATCCTTCCACGACGCGAGAAAGGGCATGGCTTTCGGGCGCCGGGGCTCCGGCCTCCGGCGGCCGACCAGGACAATCCATGCGCGCCCCCCGCACGCTCCCGACGAGGCGCAGCCGACGGAGAGCACCCCGGAGCGAGAGGGCCTGGAAGGACAGACCCAAACCGCCAGCAGCCTCCCGCCATTCCTCGTCGCGAGCCGAGGAGGGGGGTCTGTGTCCTTAGAGGAAGGAGAACTATGCACATACACCGATTCTGGCCAGACCCATCCTGAGCCCAGGATCGGTGCATACGCCCTCCTACCTTGGCCAGGAAGGCATATGCACCGATCCTGGGTCAAGGATGTGCCTTGCAAGGATCGGTGCATGTGCATAGTTCTCTTCGCCCGAGTCCTTGGCGCCCTCCGGCCTCGCCATGTGGCCGCGCTCCCCGCACACGAAGCACTCGGGTGGCGCGCGCGGGGCCCTGCCGGCGGGGCCGCCGGCGGGTTCGTCCAGCACGTCGGGCTCCTCCTCTCGGGGGCCGCACCGCCAGGGGTCAGCATCAGAGGGCCACGCACTTCGTTCACCACTGGGTTTGCAAGTTGTTGTTGTTGTTGTTGTTGTTGCTGCTGTTGTTGTTGTTGTTGTTGTTGTTGTTTTGGTTGTTGTTGTTGTTGTTGTTGTTGTTGTTGTTGTTGTTGTGGTTGTGGTTGTTGTTGTTGTTGTTGTTGTTGTTGTTGTTGTTGTTGTTGTTGTTGTTGTGGAGCTGGGCGTGGAGCTCCGCGGCGTGCCGTGCGGGCGTCTCGCCGCTGTCTCGCCCAGGCGCCGCGGGCCCCCCAGGGATGCCGAAGTGGGCTGTATCTGGCCGAGCCCGGCTTCAAACATAAACTGCGAGTTGTCCAACCGGCTTCCGGGGGGCAGGGATCGGGAATAAGTGGGCGGAGCCCACTCAACAGAGCTACCAAGCCCCTTCGTGCCCCGAACCACTCTCTAAACTGGACCTGGCCAATTGTACCAACAGTCCGCATGAGCATCCACGCAGAGTCCCCTTCCATCCCCCCAGCAAGCTTGATGGTGATCGTTCCCTCCCAAACCACCTTCGAAGAAAACGTGAACAAATAAGCCGATCCTATTGGAATGCCCAGTGCGGCCCTTCCCCGGAGCAGTCGGTCAACAAGGGCGTTTCCTCACGCAGTGCTTGCGCTGAGGAGTTCTTGCTTCTCTTCTACAGAACTGAGCACGTCGGCGACCCCCGCGGCCCCTTTCCCGTCCGTCGCCGCTCCAATTCTTCCACGTAGGAAACCCGTTCGCAGCATTGGCGGCCCCGCTGCCGCCCGTCGCCGCCGTCCTTTCGCACCCACGCCCCTTTGCATCGCAATCGCCCTGCAGCGCACAAGCATCGCATTGCAACCGCAAGGCCGTGCAATCGCACTTCGGTGCATTGTATGAGCGCTGAGTTCCGTTACGTTGCGCTGCTTTGCGTTACTGTGCGACGCATGTCATTGCTTTGCATTGTGTTGCTTTGCTTTGCGTTGTTTGCACTGCGTTGCATTGAGTTGAAGTGCTCCGAAGCCCTTCTTTTCCACGTCAAGATTTGCAAATTGTCTTCTCATCCGCTCGTCACAATTGACAAGGGCTGGCCAGCACACTCAAACGAGAGGAATGACGCGTAGAGTCTATAATGCGAGAGCAAGATTCTCGGAGGCTTCGCTGCCAAAAAACAAAAAGGGAGGTTGCGGGTGGGGGGCTTGAGCAGAAATGGTACGGAGGGTACGTGTACTCAGGCTGCTTCAACTCGGAGCCTCAATCCCGCGTGCATATGCCAGCACACTTTGCACTAACACGAGACCCTTCTGTTCCAGGTCAGCGCTGCCGCCGTATCCAACAGCTGGCTCACGCACTCAATGACGAGAGAAGACAAGTGAGGTCAAACATCAGAAAAATACCGGTGCGGATTCTCAACGCGTCCCCACTTATTAGAGCTTACGAGTTGATGTAATAATGATATGCACTGAGGGTCACCACGGAGGCGCACCATATTTCTTGCTAGAAGAAGAGGCAACTCGACGGGGCATGTCCGGGCTTTGAAGTCATAGAACTGCCTGCGGGCTGAACAGGCTCCCGACCACTGAAGGTAAACATGCCCCGACCTCTAATCGCACACGCACCGAGAACAGAAGGTCGCGTCGATGCTCCCGATCATCATTGTGGCCTGTATTCGCCAGGGTGCGCCAGAGAACGCGAATCAATGTCCCTCACATCGACGCGAGTAGAACAGGATAGCTCGGTAAACTCGGGCGAGCGCCACAAGGGACTCAGGACAATGTTCTCGACAATCCACGGAACGTGCGTTCTCAGGGGGAGCCGCGTCAGCCGCAATCTGCACGTGACCTGTGAGTTCCTGCTGTCGAGAGCCTGCTGGCCATTTTTCTAGCAAGGCCTGCAAGGGAAACCGGCGCCCCATGGTTCAGCGCGAGAACGACTTGCATTTTTTCTTCGCCTGGCGACGCCCCAGGACCGGAACCCGATGGCGACCATGGCTGCCGCCACTGTGTCGCCTCAGGCACCCGGACATTACGAATAGTCGGCAAATCTGCCAGGTCGAGCGCGGGTGAAAATTGCGTCCCGCAGGCGAGATTTGGTTCCATGACGGCCTGCTGCGCACCCAACTCCACCTGGGCCGCCGAAGATGTCAGCTTGGTACAAGGTCGCTTCTGAAGGGTGGAGCTCGGGATGGCGGGCGCAGCGGTGGCCCCGGGGTCGGTCTGGCCGCGCGAATGGCGCTCGAGGCGGCGCCTGCGGCGCGCTCTCGCGCAAGTGGCCTTGTACCTGGGAAGCCTGTCAAGGCCCTCGTCCATCCTGGCTTTGCTGCCGCGCCTCAAGGCTGACTTGCCCGCCCTCCAGAGCCCGCGAGCTCGGATCTCGGCCCAGGCCCTGTACTCCATGGGGGCGTCGGCGAGGGCGCCGGAATGCCTGGCCCGACGGAGCGCCGCCTTGATGCCTGGGCGTTGGCGCGCGAGCCGGCGACGCGTCGGGCACTCCACGCGCGCGATGCTCAACGCCCTGGCCCCAAGGCCCCCTCTCAGGATCGCGTCGGCCACGGCGTGGAGGAGAGGTGCCCGCCGACGCGTCAACTCGACGCTTCCTTTGGTCGCGTGCGCCTTTGAAGTTTCCCCGAGCGAGCGCCTGTCTGAAATGCGAAGCAGACCCATGGGGCAGATAACCGAAGCGCTGGCGTCTGGAAGTCCTCCGCGAGCAACTTCAGCGGCCCCGACGGGCGCGCGCGCGCCGCCCGCGCGAACGGCGCGCGCAAAGCCGCGCGCCGAAAGTTCTCGCGGCAGATCTCCCGCGCGATGGGTGCCCAGATGCTCGGGGCCAAGTGGGCGTCGCGAACGCCGCGGGCGCCGCCGCTTCTGCCCCTTCGAGGCCCATGTAGCTCCGCGGTAGGAGAAGCCCACCGTGGCGGCCAAACTTTGGAACGAAGTGCTAGAGCCCCGCCGCGAGCTTCCCCCCCTCGCTGACGTTCTAATCCTAGTCGGAGCGCCCCTGAAGGCGCCGCGCCACCGGCGCGCCCGCCATGGCAGTCTCGCCGAGGGGCTCGCCATGGCGGCGGGCCTTGCCCCGCCAACCTCGCGCCGGTTCGCGGCGCTGGTGCTCGGTCCGCGCCCGCGCTGCGCTCGACTCGAGCGGCGGGGGCCCCGGCCCGCGAAGCCTCCCTTGCTCGATCGGGCAGCGGGCTCTTCAAGGCCCCGGGGGCCGAAAGACCCTGACCTATGTCGCCCGGCGCGCTGTCGCCCACGCAGTCTCCGATGTCGCGTCGCTGCTCTATCAAGGCGCCGGACCCACGGTGACCGGCTGGACCTCTGGCGGCCCGTCAGAGTCTCGCGGGCCGAATCTCCCGCCTGGTCGTGGGTCGTCAAATGCAGCCCCAGATGGCGCGAGGGGTCGGGGTCGCCCGTGTTTGGGCCGATGTTTGACTGCTCGCCAACGCCCGCGATTCGGTCGGCCTGGCAGGGGCATCGCGCGGCATGGACGTCGCGGCAGCGACGGTGGACTGTCTGACACGCGCCGTCGCGCGGAAGAGAGGCGGGCCAAATGGTCTACTGAGAAACGCCGCGACGGTTCGCGAGCAGTGTTCCAATCAGACGGCGCCCATCGGAAGTGCGCTCGCAGGCTGAGGGCCAGACACCCCGCGCTCATGCGTCGAACGCGCATCAGGGAACTGAAATCGGTTGTCCTCCCACGAGAGAAAGCCAGACACACGCCCACCTGGAGAAGCACGCGGGCCCGAAATATTTGGCACTCGCTGACCGCCGCAAGGAACCCCCGCAGCAACGCCCCGGCCTCCAACATGTAAATTCCATGGCCCCGGTGCCTCCAGAGGCCGCTAAGAGCGTCTCCCAGCTGGCCCCGGACAGGAGATTGCGCGGCACCTCTGGGGAAAGCGAGCCCACCTCGAAAGCCCGCCCAGAACCGCCGGCCCCGCTGCGATGCAGCGGATCGGGGCGGCCGCCCCGGGCCACGCAGCGCCTTGCCGAAGCTCTGGGGAGCTTCTCGAAACGGCCCCGCTCGAGAAACCGCCCCGCCCCAGCAGCGCCCGCGGAGCGCGCGGAACTCGGCGCGGCCCCGGGCCCCTCTCCAGCACCCTCGGCCACTAGGCCCCGTCCCGCGGGGCCAAGGCAAACGCAGTGACGAAGCCGCGCAGAGGGGCAACAAGGCCGCCGCGGTCATCTCCTGCCAGGAGGTGCGCGCCGGAACTCTGGATTGAAATCGCTTATATGCGCGATTCCGTAGATGTTTCTGAAGGCGCCCATCATGCCCCTGCCACCCGCGCGCAGAACGCGAGGCGGCCGAGCAGCGCCTCCCAGACCCGCCCCAAGAATCTCCGACAACGCAGTGCAAATGCGACGCCTTGGCGCGCCTTCCACGGGCGAGCAAGAAGGCGGCCGCCCGCGCCCCGCTGCGCCCCCGGGGCCGCCATGGAAGCCGCAGTGACTTCATGCTTTCAGGCGCGCGGGCCGGTCCGCTCGAACTGGGCGGTCGCGCAAGCGAGATCGCGCGTCGCCTCGTTGGGGTCCGAAGGGAGGGCCCCCAGGTCGTCGACGTAGATGTCGCGACACCTGCCAGAGCGCTCTCAAGACGGGCTGCCACAAAATAATGAATGGCCCCGAACAACTCGCTGTTGCCGCGCGCGTGAAACACCTGGATGGCCGTGTTTCCAGAGAAGCAGCGAGTCGTTCAAATCGCGGGCGCACGATGACCACTTCGCCCGCGGCAGCAGGCCCCATGCCAACCTTCCTGGCCAGCTCCAGGGGGCGCCGAAATCATCTCTGACATCAGCGAGCCCAAGAGACAAACGGGCACCCCGCGCGAGGACTGGGGCGAGACGAGAGAGGCCAGGGGGGAGCGATACATCCACAACATTCGCTGGAAAGCAGATGCGCCCCTGGGAATCCAGCAAATCTCCTACGGGGTAAACAAGCATTGATGATGGGGTGGCTCTTGGCCCCCACAAGATTCAACCGAAAATGCCGCGTCGCTCCCGGGGCGATCCGGCTGGCAAGACCACCGCAAGACCGAGGCGAAGCAAGGTGCGCATCTGGCGCAAAATCTCTCGGCGGCTGCTGACCAGCGCGGGGCCCTGGCGCGGGCGCGTGGGCGGCGGCGACTTCTGCTACCCCAAATGTAAGAGAGCACGGGCGCATGGCGCGCTCGTAGTTTTGCTCCAGAAGTTGGCTTGCCATGGGACCGACACTCTTGCGCCGCTGGGGCGCCCTCGAGGCTGCCGGGGGATCCGACCGCAGCAACGTCGGGGAAACGGGCTAGGTTGCGCCCACTAGGCTCTTTGTCATAGACGGCCCGGCCGCGCGGCCACTCGCGAACTGCCAATCGCCAGTGGCCCCCGAATGGAAAGAACGCATCGTTGCCGGACGCGCGGGAGAGGAGTCAAAGGGGGGAAGGCATGGGCGGGCCCGGCCTACACGGCGGCGCCGGCGTCGATCTCGCAGCCAGGTCGCCTGGCAGCCCTGCCCCCTAGAAAGATCCTGGCGCGACTGCGGCGGAACCGCGGGCGTTCGTCGGGCGCTGACATCGCCATCGTATTCATTGCCCTGGTCTCACGCGACGGCGCAACCAAATCCGTCGCTGGCAGGGGCCATCGTCTTGCAGCCGCCCCCGCCCTGCCCCGGCCTGGCGCAGCCGCGGCCCTAATCGTTTTTTGGGCTCCCGCGGCCATGCCCCGCCCCCCGCCGCCAGGGCCGCCCGACTGGGCGCGGGGCCGCGCGGCCACATTCGCACGTCCTCGGCCCCCACCTCCCCCATGGCTCGGCGGCGAGCCCGCGTGCGCAACTTTGGCGACGCCGCAGAGGGGGCCGTCGCCACCCAGCGCGCCAATCGAGCAGGCCTCGGGGATCTGGCAGACGCGCGCTGGAACACCATCTAACTAGATGCAGGCCAGAGAAGGCCCGCTCACCCGTTCGTATGTTCCGATGAAGTACAGAATGCCGATAAGCAGCGCCATCTCGGTGCCGCTCCGGTCCGCCCCCGGGGGCCGAATCGCACTTCCCTGTGCCAAGTTGGATATCACAAGCGGGGGCCCCCGCCCTATCGCTGGACATTCTTGCGCACAGCCAGGCTGGTGGTAACCAGTCGCTGGATGCTTCATCCCGTCGCTGTAACAATTGCAACCGATCCTCGCGCGCACTGGCTTCCATGTCTTGAAGCGCTGTCCGTGTTCATCGCAATCGGCCGTCAGCACGCTAGCGCCCTCGCTTGGGGGCGGCGTCTCTGCGCCTCCGTCGAGGGCGCCATCGCGCGAGGAATGCCAAGTCCCCTGCGGAATGGAACCTGGGAGGAACGCCCGTCCCGTGAATCTCGTCAATCCGTACCCGCGCGTTCTCGAAGAAGTGGGGCGCCGCGGCCAGGTCGACCCTCTTCACCGCCGCTGGCCGCCCCGCCGTGCCCACCGCGAGGGCCTCGATCGCTTGCGATCGTGGCGTTCCGAGGCAGGTGGACATCGCGACCGAAATCACCATGGCGAAGGTCGACGGCAAGCCATGCACCATTCTTCCCGGCAGAAGGCGGGTGCAGCGGAGGCGCGGGGGCCTGACCGTCATCACCTCCAGCTGCTGGCTCGGCAACCGTTGGAATGAGGTCCGCGCCCTCCGAATCCATGGCCGCCTAGCACTTCTTGCGAGACCCATCCCAAATAACGATGCTGAGCGATGCTGGCCGGGTAGGCTAGCATCGTGCGGGTCCTTGCGACAGCCTCCCCCTTCCGCCATCTCTCTCTGCTCGAACAAATCGGCCGTAGGGTAATAATCCTTGACACCATGGCATCGCATGTTGGATTAGCGATCGGCGTCTGGCCCAGCAGGGCCGCGTGCACAGCGCCACCTGACCCCTGGCGGCAGTGGATGGCGTCGACGTCCGGTCTCCGTCGGGAGGGATGAACACCCGCGCTTTTGCGCGGACAAAGGCGAGGACCGCCCTTTCGTGTCAGTACGCGTCGCTGCTGCAACGGAAGGCGATGCGGCGTCCAGGAACAACCTCACGCAAAAGCTCCGCCTCTTCCACGGCGCGCCCGTCCGCTCCAAACAGCTTGTGCCTCTTCGTCGAGAGCATCTCGGCGACGCCCAAGCCAGGCGCGCAGACGACCGACCACCGCCCGTGCCAAAACGCCACCGAACGCCCACGCGACTGGCCAAGCAGTCCAGGCGCCCTCCGCTGCCGCGACCACCGCGTCCACCTGCTCGTCCACTTGCTCGTCCAGATGCGGAAGCCCCGGGCGAACGCCGGCAGCGCCCGCAGGCGAGCAGCGCGAGCAACATGGCGCCCGCTCAGGAGGGCGGCCGTGCCCCAGCCGTCGCCCGGCTCCCAGCGCTCCCTCCGACGGAGGCGGCGACGAGGACTCGCACTGGACCCAGACCCCCTCGCGTTGTGAAGAGATCGCGGCGGGAGGCTCCTCGCCACCGTCGGCCTCCGGGGGGCCTTCCCGGGCCTCGGGGCCGTCACATAATGATCCAGGACGGAAAACGGGCCCCGGGGAAAAAGGTCGAGACCTCTGGGGGTCGACGTTGCGAAACAAATCGCCACGTCGGGTCTCGGGCCGCCTTCGCCCGCTTGCGAGCACCGCGAGCAGCCTGGGGGGCGAGCGTCCGCTCAGGAGCGCGGCAGTGCCCCAGCCGTCGCCCGGCGCCAAGGTCGTCGTCGTCGTCGTCGTCGTCGTCCTCTCCCTCCTTCTCCTCCTCCGTCTCCTCCTCCTCCTCCTCCTCCTCTTCCTCCTCCTCCTCCTCCTCCTCCTCCTCCTCCTCGTCGTCGTCCTCCTCCTCCTCCTCCTCCTCCTCCTCCTCCTCCTCCTCCTCCTCCTCCTCCTCCTCCTCCTCCTCCTCCTCCTCCTCCTCCTCCTCCCCCTCGCCGTGTGCTGGAGACGAGGACTCGCACTGGAACGTGCTCGCGAGTTTTTACCCCCCCAGGGCGCATGAGGTGCAGCTGGCCCGCATCATAAGGATGCGCGATAAGGGTGCAAAGGGCCTTGGACGCCCGTTCCGAAGCTTTTCGAGCGGGGCGCGGCCAACAAAAGTGGCCATGGATGGGCCGAGGAGGCAAGGGGACGGCACGGTGGTCCGCGACGGCCCCCTTTAGCGCCCTTGTCTTCACCCCCTATGTGTGCCACCCCCCATTACGACCCGCCCTATCTTCAGGGCCCGTGATCGTGCCCCGGGGCCCTCAACAGTTGCCACCGCTCGGCCGCCCCTTCCCCGTGCATGTGGTCGGCATCGTGCGCGCGGGCTTCGCAAGAGGGTCCAAGAGAGGATCCTAGAGGATCCTCGCCACGAAAGCAGGCACACGTCCGAGCAACGCCGAGGACGTGGCTCTGGGGCGGAAGCCTGGCCCTCGGGGTGGGAAAGAGAGTCGGGACATCTCTGGGGCCGCGCCCTGAGGAGCTCGTGCCGTCGGCTGTGAGGAAGAGGAGAAGGATGGGCGGGGAGGATGGGCGGGGAGGAGGAGGAGAAGGAGAAAAAGGAGGAGGAGGAGGAGGCGCAGGAGGAGTGTTTTCTGCTGCTGGGCCGTCACCAGGCGGCCCAGGATGAAAGGCTGTCCCCGGGGAAGGGTCGATCCAGACCTCCGCGGGTCCACGTGACGAGCAGGCCACGACGTCGGAGTTCTGGGAGGTGCCCCTGGCCTTTCGCTACGCTCACGAGGGACCTCTGTTCTGAGGTAGCTCCTCGAGGTCTTCTCGGGGGAGATGGAGGGTCATGGCGGCCGACGCGGGCAAAGCCGGATCAATATGGATTCAGCGTCATGAGAGAGGGTCAGGCTGAACTCGGACAGAGGCCATCGCCCAACCTTTCGGGCCCAGCGACGGGTGCTGTGGAGGCCATCTGGGCCCCCCTGGAAAAAAAAGCGCTGGGGCCAGCTGTCGGGGCACTTCTGGCGGCGACCGATCCTCTGGCTCCCGCACGCTCTGGGGGAGGCGGTCGTACTGATCCCAGAAGCTGCCCGCCTCGCCCTCCTAAGAGGACAGAAGCCACGTACACAAATAAACTGTCGGGGCTCCGCGCAGATGTCATGGGTCGGCGCCGAGCCCCGCTTCATGGCGCGCAGCGCGCGCCAGGGGCGGCGCTGCAGGCACCGCGGGGGGAACTCAACCCAGCGCCGATCCGAGAAGTCCGCGCGGACACCCAAAGGGTTCTGCTTCTGTGCGTTTGCTGGTTCCTCGGCTCCTGGTCGGCGTACCAGTCGCTGTCCTCCTCATCCAGGCTGATCAGCGAGTCGAGCAGCCCCTGACCCAGGACCTCCCCCGTCTCTCGGATGATCACGCGCGCGCCGCGGAAGGTGCCGGTCGTGAACTTGGACTCCCAGCACCACTCGGTGGCCTCTGCGCGCGAGGCCACGGTGAAGGGGAACTCCGCGGGGCGCTGGTCGTCCAGCCGCTGCCGCAGCATGGCCAGGAGTCGCAACGTGGCCAGGCGGCGGTTCCCCAGCGTGAACCAGAGGCCGTTGTAGGACACGACCTTGAGGTCGAGGCAGAAGTCCTCCACGCTCCTCTCGCCCCTCACGGAACAAGGAGCACCAGGTACAGTCGGCCCGTATCATGAGGATGCGCGATAAGGATGCCACGGCCCCCCGGGCGCCCATGTCGAAGCTTCCCGAGCGGAGCGCGGCCAGCGAAAGCGGCCAGGGAGGCATCGAGGAGGCAGGGAGGCAAGGGTACCCTTGGGAAGGATGCCCGTTCTTATTATGCGGGTTGACTGTAAACATGAATGTTCGGACCTCCCATCGGATTCCTCGGATCCGCGCAGTGGCTCTCCCTGGCGGCGCCTCAAGCGCCGCCCCTGGCGCGCTCCGCGAGCCAAGGAGGGGACCCAGCGCAGACGCAAGAAATCCACTCGGAGCTCCTAAAGTTAGGTGGGCCATGTCCCCCTACAGGCGGATGTTGGAAAAAAAAAAAAAATGTTCATGCTCAAACATGGTTTAAAATAGTCAAAGAATA